AAAAAAAAAAAAAAAAAAAAAAGAAGAAAGTGTAACAAATTGAGGAAGAGGAAAAATAATAAAAATCAACCTTTATCAAGTATCCAGATATTGTTTTAAGTTCTTATGTTGTGTTGTCTCATTTAATTCTCACAACTCTATGAAATTTTTCTCTCATTTTAACAACGAGGAAAATTAAACCCAGAGAGATTAAGTATCTTGCCCTTGAGTACACAGCTGTGAAGTGTGGAGACTCTAGAGGCAAGCTCTACTCTTCCTCTATAGTGGTAAGAGGACAGGATTGAAGGAATGAAGACAAAGATGAGATGGAAAGCTAAATTACACATCTTACTTTATATAGGTTTCTATTAATTTTGTTTCTTTTTTCAAAGTAAACACTGTTTTATAAATAATATAAAAGTGAACCCCAAATACATAATTAGGCATTGGAGATAATCCCTAATGTTCTAAGTCAGACTTCACTTGCACCTCAAGACCACATGTTATACACACTGGGAAAATAGAGATAAAATGATGGCCCTAGGAAGAGGAGGAAAGATAAGGGGGCAGATTATTCTTTTTACCAGGAGCTTCTAAATCTCACCTCAATTCTCAACTAAGGCTTTGTTGACACTGGGTGAAAATTAAAAAGAAAATTTATATTGAATTGTTTGCCTGCTGATAATAGTTTGGAAAAATGTTCCTACCCAAATCTCATTTTCAAATGCAATCCCCAGTGTTGGAGGTGTGGCTCATGAGAGGTGTTTGGCTCATGGAAGCAGATTCCCCATGAATGGCTTGGGCCATCCCCATGATGATAAGTAAGCTCTTGCTCTGAGCTCACATGGGATCTGGCTGTTAATGAAAACATGGTGGCCAAAGTGGATAAGGTGAAGTCCACAATCAAGCTCCAAATGAAGAACGTGTTATGTCTGGCTGTGGCTGTTGGTCACATGAAGATGACAGACGACGAGCTTGTATATAACATTCACTTGGCTGTCATCTTCTTGGTGTCATTGCTCAAGAAAAACTGACAGAATGTCCAGGCCTTATATATCAAGAGCACAATGGGCAAGCCTCAGTGCCTATATTAAGGGACATTTGAATAAATTCTACTGCTACAAAAAAGAAAAAAAAAGTGTGTGGCACCTTCCCCTCCACCTTCTCGTTTGCTTCTGCTTTTGCCATGTGAAGTACCCGTACTTCAATCACCTTCCTCCATGATTGTAAGTTTCCTGAGGCCTCTTGAGAAGCCAAGCAGATGCCAGCAACTTGCTTCCCAAAAAGCCTGTGGCACTGTGAGCTAATTAAACCTCTTCTCTTTATAAATTACCCATTCTCAGGTGTTTATATAATGGCAATGCAAGAACCAGGCTAACACACATACTTAGTTATCTAAGTTGTCTAAACAAGTTCTTAGTTACCCAAACAAGTGCTCAACATAATGGTATCATAGAATAAAATAAGAGGAGCGAATAATTTGTAGAACATTTAGCTTCTAGAAGCCTTTGGATGAACTATTTGAACAAAATCATGTTTCTAAGTACATTAGACACAAATGTATATTCAATAATAGACTATATTTCTACATAAATCTTAAGATTCAGGAAAATCGGTTTTTTTATGTCCTTGGAACTATTGATAAGCCATTCAAAGGTCAGACAGATGATACCTGGATTTACCTAATTGTTACACTTTTATATTCACAAACTACTAGATCGTTACTCAAAAAACAAAGTGGCCAGACTTGGAATAATATGTTTTCTCATGTTTCTGTATTATATAATGATTTTAAACCATCTCTTTCATGAGAAAGGTAGCCAAAAGTTAAAAGTTAAATGATTAAAGAGACAACCATACTGGATTGTGTTAAGAAAATGTAACATGATTTATAGGTCAAAATGACAATTGAAAATCTAACTTTCAAGTTTATTTGCTTTCTGTGTGAGTTAAAACACACACACACACACACACACACACACACGCACACACACACACACACACACACAGAGTCAGGCATTCTAGAATGCAAATTTTCTCCTAAAAACCTAATAGTTGATTATCCTGAAGTCTTGATTGCCTTTCCAAATCTTTTCTTGAGCTTCAGCAGAGCCTGAACTGGTATCCAAGAGTAAACTTGAGTACTGCACTGACCTTTCCAAAGCAGAAGCATTTTGAAAGAGATATCCAACAAACGCAAACTAGAATTGTTTAACGGTACACAATCCTAGCAAACAAGAAGAAAACTTCTTCCTTCTAAATGGCATATTATATGTAACCAGGCCTATATATTTAATTTTCTTTGACTATATAACTTGGATCCCTTCAGGACTTTTTGTTTTGTTTTTGTTAACGCATCAATTATTCCTTTGATCAAGTCCTTTGCCCCCAAAAATTATGTGTTAAGTTTGAAAATTAACTATCCCCAAGTTGAATTCCCACATATCAGCCTTTTCCTAGTAATTTATTCTTCAAGACTCATTAACGTAGTTACAAAAACGAAATGACTATTTGCACTGTGTTGTCATCCCCTCCCCCATTCAAGAAAAATGAACAAAAAATACTTACAATGGTTCTTAGCCAGGAGCATTTTATCCCTTATTCACTAGTGGTAAATGAGTCAGATATGAGTTGGCCAGGAAAAGAGCTGCTTTACCCAAAATCTTTGTATGAAATGAGTCATCTCACTCCAAACACCAATATGTTCTCCAAAATAACTGGCAAGAATTTCCTATAAAAAGAATCTTGCCTTCACTCTTTTCCATCTATTTAGCTCTCTGATTTTTCTAATTTTTCAATTTCGTGTGTGCTTATAATATTGCGTTCATAAGAAAAGTCCAGAAATGTTTCCGCTGCTTTATCTTATTTTGAAAGTCATCTTTCCTGTATTGAGTAGTGGGACAATACTGATAGCATTCCCTTGGAAAGAGTAAATGCTCTGTGGCCTTTCAAAGCATTCTCTCTCTCTCTCTCTCTTTCTCTCTCTCCTCTCTCTCGCATTCTTTCTTCGTGTGTGTGTGTGTGTGTGTGTGTGTGTGTGTGTGTGTGTGTATGTGTATCTGTCTGTCTTTGACGAAATTCATGCATGGTTTAACTGAAATGCAAGAGCCAGTTCTAGAAGAATTTTTCTTTTCTTCTGATGTAAAAGGGAACTCAGTTCAAAGCCATCAAAAATATTTCAAGCAAAACCATTTTTCTTCCCACAAGAAAAATCTATCACAATAGATATAATCTGTCTAAAAGTGATAAATGAACATGAAACCAAGCTTTGACTTTGCTTTCCTGCACATCAGAACATTCATATGCTCTCTCTGCCATGAGATGAAGCATAAAATAAAAATCACTGTAGACTGAAGCCGAGGTTAAATCCCTATACATTATCATGAGTCAAGCACACTATTTACCTGAGGATAAACAAGTTTGCCTACAGGGCCAATTCTGCCAAACTGCTGAGATTTTTGTATTACTTGAGGCTCATAACATCACTTATTATTGTTAATTAATCTAAGCTCTGCAATTTAACCACCAAAAATATTTACAATTCATTTCACTCAGGTTGGAACTTAGCTTTGTTTTTCTATATTAAATTAATTCTAAAGAATAGCTATGCTTTTATATCCAACAGTAACAGATGTTAGTTTCCTCCATTTTATAGCCCTCAGATGACAGACAACTAACTGTTTTTGGCCATGGGAATAATTGCAACACCTTTGGATTATGAACTTGGTTCAGTTCTTAGCTGGGAACGGCAGGGGGTTAGTTCATATTATCAAAGATGTAAAGTAAGTTTTCCCTTATGTGCTAGATATTCATATAAAGATACCTTTCAATAGAGTAATATACAACTTTTCTCCCTGAATGGTAATCTGCTGTTTAAGTGATTATAGGGTAAGAGAAAATAACTGCATAAAAATAAAATTTCTTATTCATTTTATCTCTTGCTCTTGGCCAAAACAAGATGTTAAATCCATTAAGCTCTGAGTATCCAGTAAAAGCAAGAAAGTAGAACTGTTTGAATTTCTGCATTCTTGGGAAAATTGCCAACCTATGCACTAGTAGCAGGATCTGTGTAATTAATGGTGATGTTATTGACAGAGAGAGGGAGTCTGATTTCCTTCTCAGAAGCAATTTAAGAGTGCAAGCTGGCAGAGCTTTAGCAAAGCCTCACCTGATTTGTTTTTAAATTGAGGAAATGTGACCTTGAAATCAGCCATAGAAATCACCAATATTAATGTACATTTGTGGTGGCTTTGGTAGACTTTAAAGAAATTCTAAATGTAGCATTTTCTGTAGAACTGAATGATGAACACCAAATGCACAAACTGACAAACGTTCCTTAAAAAGAGAACAAATGAACCAAATCGTAGGTTAACTGTATTTTTCTCTCCAGGAATCTATATTCCGAAGAAGATATATTAAAACCAATCTGTCTTATCAGAATATAAAATAAAATCAGCCCCAAGTTCACACAGTCCTTTATAGATAGTCTCTTGTCTCCTTTGCAGACAACTTTCACCTTTATCTAGTTGTTGGACCTCAAGGACAATCACATAAGGAGTGCTTATATGTATTTGGCTACCCAACAGTCTAGTATTATGTCCATCTTCTGCTCTCCTCTTTCTCTTTGTTATATCAGCAATTTCAAAATGATTAGAGAAAGAAGAAGAACATCTGGAAAAATAGAGATAACTAGGAAAAGGAGTTAGGCCCACAAGCAACTCTTTCCGTAATGATCTGCACTCAATTATCTGAAAAGGCGTGATTTTTCTCACCATCTATCTCATCCCTTCTATTTGTCTGTGAACTGCAACCACACACTCCAGCGCTGCATTTTACATGAAGAATGAAGCAATGAATTCTCTATGGCCTAAAGTATGTGCTGTGGCATCTGTGGCTTTGGAGAGGACAGGCGGTGGGAGTAGAGGAGACAGGTGAAGGAAAGCCAGGAGGAAGATTCACAAACATCAAAGATGAGCTTGGATATGACTGACCTGGATTATGCCCCCACGTTGGATTCATACCTGCTGTCTTCCTGAGCAAAGGGCTGTTCCACATCCACTGTTAGGGAGGCCAGGGCAGAAACGGTCTCTGTCTCCTCTTGCAACTGAGCACCAGCCAGAGCACAGCCCCTTGGCATAGCCACCATCCTTAATGACTTCCAATACTTGCCTAGGAAAAACATCCATCATACTTTATAATAATTGCAGTTACAGCAGTAATAATCAGAATACTCACATAGGTCCAACTCAGAGCAGTTGTTATCTTAAAATTCCCCATGTTATACACAGTTGTAGTTTGGTTTTTTAACTGTTATGATTAAGTCTTTTTCTCAATCTAGGAATGCCAAGTTGTGAAGTGCCCATATTCCCAAACTGAATCTCCCCTTTGCTCATACAGCAATAAAGTGAGGAATAATCTATGGCCTACTGAACTTACCCTCAGACTGACAGCTGTCTCTGCAACTAAGCAAACTCTGGGCACCATGCTCCATGGGAAACCCACAAGAGACTAGGAGGCAGCACTTTTACAGAGAAAATAAATGGAATCATACTGTTAAACGCTGCTACCTGAAGCATTAACTTTTAGAAAATGAAGTTGGAATATTGAAGAAAAAGAAAAGCCAAGAAATGCCAGCATGAATTGAATGGTGACTTTGCCAGAACAATCAGGTTTGTTAGTCCTGGATGTTCTTTCTTTCTCAACCTCAGGGTGTGTATTAGAACAATAATTGATTTAAAACTTTAATATATGTACTGGCTGATGTTGGAGCCTATCCATATGTCATACTGATGTTTCTTTTTTCGAGGCAGGAAAGGAGAAAGAGAGGAAAATAGAAGGTCATTTCATGAGAACATGCCAATGGGATAAATATGAAAGAACAGAGTTAATGGCTTTCTTACAGCCCTTAGGCTATTTTCTTGTGAAATGTTGAGTAGCCCCAAATCAAAGTAAGACAATCTCCCTAGGTGTTGACATGACTCACCAGGTCAGAACTATCTCTGCAGCCTGACTAGTTGGCAAGAACTATGGTACGCAGTGTTTGCTTACTTCTTAGAAAAAAAAGTCTTGTTTGAGTGGAAAAGGCAGATGGATGAACGCTGGATTGGGCAGTAAAATAACAGGGTTCTGGACCCTGTGCTGCCATCCCAGTCACGTTAGTGAGGCTTGGCAGGACTTTATTTTTGCCTCTTGAAATAGGGAGATGTCTCAAATCTTTTGCAGCTTTAACATTTTATGATTAGTCTTTCCTTATCTTACTGTTTCATAGAGGAACAAATGTCATATTAGGGGAGGATACTCAGACTCCCCATATTCCCCATGCCAACAAGACCTTCTGACACAGGTATCCGTTACTACTTAACTTGCTGTGATCACTTACTCTGACCAAAGTCTGAGAATCACAAAGCTTTTTTAATTTGAACCAAACAATAAAAATTCTGTCAATGAATACAAAAACTAACATTTTTTTGAAAGCTGACTTTTCCACATGTTGAGGACAGAAAGATGCTTCCTAACACCAAGAAATGCATGGTCCAGGTGAGACAGCCCTGCTATTTAAGCATTACAATTCTCTGTGTAAAATGCCCATGGTGATCTTGAATGGGCATAAGTAGAACATGTATTTAAGGTGATGGGAAAGTATGGGAAGACTTGCCAGGAAAAATAACACTTGACTGAGTTCATTAGAAATTAGAGTGCAAATCCTGAAGTCTAATTAGAAATTAGAGTGCAAATCCTGAAGTCTTGATTGCCTTTCCAAATCTTTTCTTTATCTTCAGCAGAGCAAGGTGGAGGTGATGGGATATCCCTGGAAAGGGAAATAGCACATACAAATAGAGAGAGACTTTCTGTGTTTTACCATGTGACCATCAACTGCAAGGAATGACTGGAACATACAAAGAGTATGGAGTGGGATGGATAAGACTGTTATGGTAGGGAAGGGCTAGTTAATACACACTCTTGAATGACAGACTGGTGATCTTGGACTTCAACCTGTGGATGATGAGGGGGCATTTTAAGCAGATGATGTATAGTATCAGGTTTATATTTTTAAAAGATCCCTTTGGAAAGATTATAGGTGATGGACTGGGAGGTGATAACAGTGGGGGCAGGAAGACCAATTTCACATCTTGGCAAGTGTCCAAGTGGGAAATGATGATGTCTAAACCAAAAGGAAGTAACAGAATAGAAATGAGAAGACACTAAGAGAGATTTGGGAGGTAGGCAGTGAAAATGTATCTTTAGTCTACCCTACATCTCTAAACTTTGAAAGTTATCTCTGAATTGACAGTTCCATTCCCAGGGCCTAGTTTCCCTAGATCACAATGTCAAATATCATCCAGCTCTAATATTTCATTACTGGTCTTTCTTTATCTTACTGTTTCATGAAGGAACAGATGTCACATTAGGGGAGGAAATTCAGTCTCACCACCTATTTTCCATGCCAATAAGACCTTCTGACATGGGTGCCCACTACTATTTAACTTGCTGTCAGGTTAATATTATGGTAGTATCACCCAAGTTGGAAATTCCATATTCCATCTGCAAGTACATACATTGTAATAAGTTACACAAAATATTATTATTAAACATTATTTTAGCAGATAACATTTACAAAGCTAGTGATACTGTATGACATTCTTGTTTTCTATGGCAGCTAATTTGGGGACTCAGGCAAACACACTACATATGGCTAGTGGCTTACCGGTCAAATTAAAAGACTATAGGAAATACAAACTACCATTATTGAGCACCCAATATGTGCCAAGGCTGCTCTAGGTGTTTCTACATTTATAGTTTGTAATTTTATTTAACAATTAAAAAAAACTATTTAGGCAATGGCAGGTAATTTTTTTGAAGCTCACATAGCTAGTAGGCAGAGGAGCTAAAATCCTTACCCAGCACTAATTCCAGATTGCCTCTTTCTCTGCACTCTGCTGTCCTCCACCCCCCTCCCAGTAGACATAAAAAAAAAAATCTCAATTATAAAAGTCTTAGCTTAAAGGAACGATGCATGTTGCAAAATATCTGCAACAAATATGACAGTCTTGATATTCTTATGTACATATTTTTTGCTTTGAAAATCATTTTAGGCCAGGTGCGGTGGCTCACGCATGTAATCCCAATCATGTTGAAACTAGTTCATTTTACTCTTCATTTCTTATAACGTTGCACTATTGCAAGTACCTTTTACCAGGTAAATTATTGAGGCTATCATAAAACTGGAGACAGGACTCATTGAAGAATATGAATAAGAACCTCATCGAAGGTCGGGTGTGGTGGTTCACCCCTGTAATCCAGCACTTTAGCAGGCCGAGGTGGGTGGATCGCTTGAGGTCAGGAATTGCAGACCAGCCTGGCCAACATTGTGAAACCCTGTCTTTACTAAATATACAAAAATTAGCCAGGCATGGTGGTACATGCCTGTAATCCAAGATACTCTGGAGGCTGAGGCAGGAGAATTATTTGAACCCAGGAGGCAGAGGTTATAGTGAGCCAAGACTGTGGCATTGCACTCTAGCCTGGGTGCCAGAGCAAGCCTCCATCTCAANAAAAAAAAAAAAAAAAAAAAAGGAGATAATCGAAAATGGAACTAACTAAAAGTCAGTATTTCCAGACTGGAGATCCGACACTAATCTTGGAGAAGTCACTGGAACACAATGGAGTAAAATTTCCATGTTTATAAAATAACAGTAGGAGGCTAAATGATATGAAAGTTTTATTCCTGCTCTCATTCTCACTTATTGTGATCCTTCTGATCTCATGTTACATATCAATCTTGGATGTAACAAAAAATTTCCTATGGCAGAAAACCTTATTTTTCTATGAGCTTATGAACTCTTGAAGAGGTCAGCAAACACTCTGCACCATAATATACACATCTAGAAGAAGCAAGGTCTTTAATTTTCAAGCATTGTGTCTTGTTTCTCAAGAAGAGAGCTTTAGGCCACAAACAAACATCTTTACTTCCATAACACAATCAGGACAGAAGGCATGCATTGTTAATAGGAATCTTTAAGCAGAATGACTGACAACGATCCTTTAAATTTTGACCCATATGTATGTCAGTACTAAGAAGGATTTTAAAATTTAAAATCCTTTTTGGATAAAATTGAATGTGTACAAAATATCTTGCTAAGATTAAATATTAGAAGTTTGGCTTTTATCAATATGTATGAGTTTCTTGACTCAGAAATAACCCAAAACTTTAAATTCTGTTTGGCCTCTGGCAAAGTCTATAAAAGAAGGGAAATATTCTACATTAATAATGCATTTATAGACCACTATCTCTATTCATAAAGGTATAGCACCGTCTGTGCAGCATGCAGCCAATTCAAACTGCACAATTTATGGGTTATATTTTCATGTGATGTGTAAGGTCTTTTCTTCCGGTCCAGAAACAGTTGTGCCAGAAAGACATATCTGCTGGCATAGGAAAAATACCCCCATTAACACATAGGAGAAATGAACCAAGGGTTACTGCTAGAATTTTCAGAAGCTGTAATTTGTAAAGTCAAATATTAATGACCAGCCACAACTGGGTTGCTCTCCTATGGCTATGCAACTGGCAAAAGAGAAGAATTTTCCATTAAAATTGGACATGCACACTCTCTCTTCAGTCATATCCTCTATCCTTATTCATTTTTCCCACTATGTAAATCTGCCCACTTTTCAGCACTTTTTAAGGACTATTCAGCCTTCAGCATTCTGCATTTTTGTTTTTTCTGGCAAAAGTAACACAAATAATGAATCTGCAATAAAGATAAAAAGTAGAGAATGGAATGCAGACAGTCAAGGGTCAGAGGTGAGGGCCAGAGATGGGGTTTCACGGGGTCACACAGGACCCAGGAGAGGGCATCCTGCAGGTACTCTGTAAACGGACTTCAGTATAAACCAGATTGTTCTTGGAAATGGACAATTTGGAAAAACAGGCAGTTGTTGACTCATGAAAGTCTGTGTTAGAAGCCACCTATCTACAAAAGTCTTCTCAATTCAAAGCCCCTTGCTACTTTGAAACTTTCTGACCCCAGAAACCTCCCCATTCCGTCATCATTTTGGGAGCCTTAGAGTTGTCACTACTCAAATTTGTTTCTTAACCTTCTTTCCATTTGAATGATGTTTCATTTCATCTTTACACACCAGGTTCTCATAGGAAAAGAAGCTGCTGC